CTTGAGAGTTAGTGTAGATTGGATAAATCGTAAATTGTACTTACCGTATCCTTGTGAAAACATGCAGCAACATGCGACTCTCAGAAACTCTTCAATGTGCTTAGGCAAAGGTGCCGCCCCAGAAAATATTAGACGAACACGTCCCCCAAATCCTTGTTTAATCTACATCACTCAACGTGAAGTACAAAAATGCAAAAGTCGCTAAGAAAAACTAGCTCGAATGTAAAATTAGGACAGTTTTACAAGTTACTAAACCTTATCAAAGACCAGCTTGTCAAACAGAGGAGATGCTTCATCCTGCTTTACTCCTTTTTGCAGATTCCTTAATTTACTGTTGATAGAGATTAAAAAAGGTTAATCTTGTTTATCTTATTATTACAGGGACTCATTTTATAATGCATGCAAATGAAGCTGGGAAAACCAACACATACTAGTAATATGCAAGCTGGAATAAAGACTTCTTCAGTAATCCCCCAGCCGAAATTTTGTCCATTATGCCTGGAGAGAGGTTAGCATCTTAATTCTATCTAAATATATGTAAGCAAATAATTACTACAATTTTGAAAATTTTAGTTTTTGTTTTAAAATTGAAAATAATTACTACGGTAATGTTTTTATAATAGAATTAATTACCGCCGGTTTGGAAGGTGACAGGATTCAATCTCATTGTAAATCTGGAGAGTTAACACTTTTCAAAAACTGTAAATGATTATACTAGAATACCTGCGTATATTCGCTCAAAGACTCTTGGGACTCCACAAAATACAGTTGGCCTTAGCACAAGAAGATCCTCCATTAAAAACTTAACATCCTGTATGTTGAACAGATGCTGTTTAGAAGTTTCATCCATATGTATACATTATCTAGTAGAAAATTCATGTTCTTTAATAAGAAAATCAAATAGCATAAGTGAGTGTTAACTCAACTCACCCCTTGCCAATATCCAATGGAAGAACCCCGGTAAATCATATAGGTCTCGATAACTTGATCGAATATGTGTGCTAGTGGAAGGAATGAAAAGTACACATCATCTTCTTTAGCCTGACAGAAACGAAAAAGATAAATAAAAAAAAGGTAAATATATAAAAAACCAAACAAAAATACACTGCATTAAGGTGCAATCCATAAGATTAATTGTTACGGATGAGCCCTTTTTGTAATTAGACTGAAGTTCGATGGTAAATCTTTTTTACACGAGTAAAATATCAAGTACTCAATATTTACCTCATCGTTACTCTCTCTCAGAAGTAGATCAATTGACAATACTTGTGCCATGAAAGCACCATTAGTTAGCACAACACCTTTAGGTTCACCAGTTGTTCCACTCGTATACATAATCGTGCAAGTCATGGTCTTGTTTTTAGGTGGAAGGTTACAATCCATATTTCCCTTAGTTAAGAGCAAAAAAAAAAAAGAAAAAGGCAGATTGAGGGTCAAATATGCTGTGACATTAGCAAAAATCGAAGTTTAAAATGAAAATGTTTCTACGTTGTAATAGATTGGTGGATCTGATCTTTTTTTACCAGCAGTGAAAATTCTTCCCAAGAAAAGCAATCTACTCCTACTTCGTTGGCTGCCGTTTTTTGTTGGTCAGATATTTTTCCGAAGCTGACAATGGCTTAACAAAGAAAACAATGCTGAAAGTTACTAACATATGGAGTTAAAACTAAAGGAACAGACTCTAAAAGCAGTAATAATAATAATACTTGAGAAAAAAATGATGTCTGAGTAGAAAATTTTACATACTTTTTAGGAATGATGTACACTTGGGGAGACATGTTAGTATCTGCAGAAGGAGGAGTCATTAAATCCACTTTATTAAAATCTTCTTACATTTATGATTTGTACCAAGAATCATAAACGTCATTTACCTCGGAAATTTAGTCCAAAAATCCTGTTTTTCTATTTTCTGTTTCAAATTTCCTAATAATATCAATTTGAAAGCATTTTCCAATATACTACGTCATTTAAAAAGAATTAAAAAGTGGGAATAAATAACAAAGCACATACAGATGGCAACTTGCATTCTTGAACAAAGGCTAAGGAAACTTCAGCATGGTTTATTATGAATTCCACTGCATTTGGTCCTGCATTTTCATGTACCACTAAAATATAATCATCATATCATAAAATATAAAACAGAACAACATGATCTAAAACAAATGAAATTACATACCAAGGGTATCGTATAAAGGTACATAAGTTATGGCGTGACTATTACAAGCCTGTAAAGCAATCGAAAACAACCNAAAAAAAAAAAAAAAAAACACAAGACAAAAAAGAAAAAAGAAAATGTATAATATTTGGTCTGAATGATTAATTAATTTGACCTGCATTGCCATAATCCATTCTGGGCAGTTGGCTCCGTAAATGCCGCACTTATCACCCTGGTCAATCAAAGCTACTCATTTCATTACATGCCTAATACTGTAATTAAGTGAAATAATCTCAAAGATGAATCATTTGTTTGCATTTAAGAACAAAGAGGGAGTAATTAATTACTGGATTGAGACCACGGCCTCGAATGGCAGAGCCAATCTTAAGGGCATCATCATAGACTTGTTTGTAAGTTTGCCACATGTACGCATTTGCCTGCCCATCATAGATAAAATTGTCACTGCATGTAATGTTTCAACTTTCATTTGTACTAATTGTTTGATCAGAAAGTATCAACTGTGTGCAGTTGTGTGTAAGTTTACGTGTGTCTTTAGTATACAGTTTGTTGCTGTTGTAAATTTGTAGGTTTGTCTTTGAGGGGGCAAAATTACACGAATAGTTTTAATCAACACAAATAAACCGTACCTTCCCATCAATGATCTGACGTCGACCCAGCATCCGGTTTGTTGGGTATCTTTCGACAGAATTTCTGCAATATATAACATAAACTCACAGAACAAGCAAAATGGCCTATTAGCTCAGCTGGTTAGAGCGTCGTGCTAATAACGCGAAGGTCGCAGGTTCGAGACCTGCATGGGCCAGTTTTTTGTATTTCCACAATTTTTTTTTTTTTTTTTTTTTGCGTGAAAAGGAAAAACAGAATTAAACCTGAAAAAATCCGAAGGCGACTCCAATTCATCTGGAATCTCCAAAAGGCCATCCTTCGCATAAATGCACCGATAAACGGGCCCACTCGACGGCTTCCCATCGGCTGCCGCCCTTCCTTCCTCAACCTTCACAATATAATCTCCCATTTTCACTCTTCCCTTCAAAATGAGTGTGTTATATATGTTCAACTAATTCCACTTCTATGAATCAGCTGATTGATAAAGAAGAAAATCTGTTTGTGTTCTTTGTTTGAGCTTATTAGGTGAAGCATTAATGAATATTGAAAGGCCTTTTTATTTGGGTGAAGGCCAGTAGAAGTCTGTACCACGCCTTTACAGGTGAGAAACTAACGAGGCACATTAATGTTGGTAGTTGAATCCAAATGTTGAAAATATTAAATGACCTCTGATTAGATTAATTTACGTAATATATATGTTTCCTATTTTCTCACCGGTTTTGGGGTTTTGCAAGTTTTTCAATTTAATCTTCTTTATTTGGGTGAACAAATTTGATGATATTCTTGTGGGTCATACATATATGCAGCATAAAGGAGTGTTGAGAGTGGGAAAGACTTTTGGTGTTATATTTTGGTGCATGGGTGGGCTAATGCAGACTGCTTTAGTTGACTTTTAATTAGCTTTTTAATTGGAGTTGTAAAATTCCAATTTCATTCAAGACTATCTCTAATCCTGCACCGATTTTATTCTATTTATACAATAATACAATTTTGAAATGAAATGGGTCGGTCTTGTTATTAATATATATGAAGTTGGATTTCATTTTGGTTTAGGACCTTCATCAAACAACAAAAGAACAAGAAGTAAACTCTAGTTACTTGATAATTTGATACCAAGTCAACAAACCATTCAAATTCAAGTATTTAGGTGGGCTTTTCTAAAACGATGCCAATCTAAATTGAAAGAAAACCACGACACTTCTTCCACTGGAGGACTCTAAGCTCGACTCGACTACAATTAAGGTAAATAATATAGAGACCTAAATTATAAACTTGTCAAGAGAATGGCACTAAGAACAATTATATGGACTAAAATGCCTGGGGTTGACCCTAAATGTTCTATAACGGACAGTTGGACGTGAACGAGCTGTCTTAGGTGAAGCGAAGCGCTTGTTTGGTCTTGGACAGGACTCAATTGGTCTCGAGCAACAGCTAACACAGAAAAATAAAAACAAATAAACTGGTTGGAACTATAAATTGTCTTGAGTACAAAAAATGAAAACACCATTCTCTTTGATGATTTGAGCCAACTCCAGATATCTTGAAACTTGGTTTCTTCATCACTGATGAACTTTTGATTAGCAACAAAGAGATAATGAAAGATAGCAACGAGGGATAGAACCATTGCAATGGAGGTTGTGTTAAGATGAATCAATGTAATAGTGCCAAAACATTTACAAGGAGCCTTTTATATGTAAACCCTGAGAACTATCTAGACTAACTAAGAAGATAAGAAATGAGTGGCTCTTCCTAAGGACGAGCTGTCAAGAAGTCACAATACAGATCATTAGAGAACAAGAATAACAGGCAGATATAAAATTCAACACATGCAGTATTGTATGTTTGCATGGCACGTGCTGTGCACATGCTTTGTGCTTTGAAATTAAGCTTAATCCACCATCCCTTGCAATTCAAGTGAGGAGACAAGAACTAATTAAAGTTTGTTACACATCCGAGAGAAAGTTAACAGATTAAAGGTTTGGTCATAAAAGCTGCAGTTTGTTCATGAGCTGGTATGTGCAAACTAAGACAAGCTTGTTTTGAACCTTCTCTCGAATGAAATTGAGATCCACCTTTATGTGCTTTGTCCTGCCCTATGGAGAAAATTGCAATTTTAGTCCAGTAACTTAGGTTGTTTCCCACTTTAGTCCAGTAACTTCGACCGATCCAAAATTGGTCCAAAAACTTTCAAAATTTCGCTCGATTAGTCCAATTTCGGCGACGGGGCCTCAAATCCGATCGGAATGCGCTGAGTTGGCAATTGGCGACGTCGACTTGCCTTACGTGGACAGATTTCTGGCTGTTTAAATGACGTGGACTCCACACTTTTTCCATGTCATTTTTTTCCCAAATAATTCAAATAAATTTGAATTACGAAAATCGAGGCCCAACGTTCACAAGACCCAAAATAAAAATGGAACCCTAATCCCAAAATCGAACCAGTTCGTCTCTCTTGAAACTCTGCATCGGCGAAAAAAAATTCTAAAAAAAAAAATGTCTTTCATTTCGAGCTCCCTTGAGTGTGAATGCAGAAAAAGAGCTGTCCTTCGCACCTTGTGGACCGATGATAATCCCGGTAGGAGTTTTCACTCATGTTTTTCATGGAAGGTTAGTAATTCAAAATTTGATGTAGTGTAGGGTTCTTGAAATTCTTGAAATTTTACTTCATATTGAGTTCCCTCGATTAATGTAGAAAGGAGGATGCAAGCTTTTTGAATGGGAGGACCCTCCGATTTGTCGGCGAGCAAAAGCCATTATACCTGGGCTCCTAAGAAGGGTTAATGCTTTGGAGGATGAGAATAAAGCTCTGAGACAGAAGAACATGAGGCTACTCAAATTTGCAGCAGCTATGATTGTCTTCATAGTCGTCCTTGTGTTGTTTAATAGTGGCCCGACCTAATCACAGAGTTGAGAAGTGGCCTGTGTTCTTGTACTTGTAGGAGCTTTAAAATATTTGCCTATGAATGTTGCTTTGTTGTTTTGTCAGTTGTTTATGTAATCCCCCCATGACTTGGATGTTGTCTTGTTCTTGTTTTATGTAATCCATCACTTGGATGTTGATGATATAAAATCTTGTTCTTGTTCTTGTTCTTGTGGATGCTTTTTGTTCTTGTTTTCTGAGAATGGTGAATGGTTTTTTGCTCAGCTAGTGACAATGTACTCATAGGCAATGCATATGATAACTGATCAAACACCATTCTACACAATGTACTCATAGATAACTGTTCTTGTTTATCTGAATGTGTATGACATTGCTTTGAATGGAAAAAACAAGTTCTTTACTAAACTCATGTCCAAGTGTTATTACAATGTACAAACTTCTTCCAAAAATCCATCATCATAATAGCCAAACATCACTTCCAACATTCTGATAAAAAATAGACACAAAAATAGCATAACTCATTCATAATAGCATAATGGCATAACCTCATGTCCAAACATTCACAATTTTGAGGCAAAAAACTTCATAATAACATTATACTTTCATAAACAACATATGTGCCCAAAAAGCAAACTTCATAAACATCATAAACTTCATCATACATTACAATCTATTCTGGTTATGACATTAACCAATTCTGGGTTCCCAAAAACACTAAACATCAACCAAACATCCAAAAAACACTAAACATCCACCAAAAGTACTACCAATCAAATCCAAACAAAAACATCAAACATGAATATTACAAACTTCACAATCTCCTGAAATGACTGTTTTCATTCAATGAAGAAGCTATTTCATACAAAGGCTTGTACTTTTGCCCCACTCTAGGCTCAACTGGAGGACCCCTAGGTTTTCTTCCTTGTAGCTGATCAAACATAGAAGGTCCTTCCACATGTGCAGGTGGGCATGCATTACCTTGAAATTCCTGTGTGCAATAGGGCACTTCATTGGTCTCCACAACAATTTCAGAGGCTGCTTGAATCCACTCAGGGGGACGTAATGGATTTTGGCTAGGCTCCACTTCAGTTTCCTACAATTTTAAGAAAATGTGTACATGCATTTCATAGTTTATTATGGACAATATTAATGAAGAAAAAAAAAATTAGACCACTTACAGTTGCACTCTTGCCCTTATTGTTCTTTCTTACATGTTGAACAATAAACAAAAATATGAATTTTTACATACAATCAGATTATAATGTAAGAATTATATGAAAGTTGAAAAACTAAAAAAAAAAACATTCTTACCTGTAACTTCCTAACAGGCTCACTTTCCACATTTGTTGAACCTCTTTTTTTTACAAAGTCTTTGCATTGTGCCGTATTGCACCACACTTGCCACATTTGATGTTTGTTTGTAGCCTTCTTGCCTTCTGAACAGTTGCATTGCCAATTTTTCTTTTCTTCTTATCAGCTACCTCATGTGCATCCATTCTTCTTGCCCTTGTTGGCCTGCCTGAACCTCTACGAAAGTTAGGAGGTAGTGGTGGTATGTAAAAGTTTTTATCCCACAACATTTCACCATTTATGCCCATGATTGTTGGGGCATAGACCTTCTTGTAAGTCTCAACACTATAAAATGGGTCCAAAAAGTCAAATGGATCCAACTTTGCCAAGTACATTGCACTGCATGCATGAGGGCAAGGTATGCCAGTGAGTCCCCATTTTCCACAAGTACAAGTACACTCTTTCAGGTTCACATTGTACTACCCTCCATTAAATGTTGAAACTTCCCAATGGAACATTGTCACATTTCAATGGCATGCAGTTACCAACCTGCTCAATATGCTCAACAAGTATCTGCTTAATCTTTGGACACCACTTCTCTGTCCATTTCACTTCTGCCCTATCTCTGTTCTGTTGCATTTTGGTGATGAGATACTGCCTAAGCCATTCAAGCATAGTCAAAACTAGTTTTTCCCTAGCCTCTAATATGTTGTTGTTGAAAACTTCACACACATTATTCAACACCAAATCACACTTAGAGCCATAAGTAAAATGACTTTTGCTCCATTGCTCAGGTGGCTTACCACTTACCCACATATGTGCCTCTGGTGATAGACACTCCATTTCTTTCATCTGGTGTCTAAACTCTCCAACAGTGGTTGCATTAGCACATCTCCATAAAGCATTTTTGAAATCTAACCCCATAAAACCAGCATTTTGGAAGTTGGAGTTCAAATGACTCACACAAAATCTGTGAAAACTACCAGGTAAAACCTCATTAAATGCCTGAATTAGACCTTTTTGCTTATCTGATATAAATATCCAATCTTCATGTTCTTTAATTTCAAGATCATTCTTCAACAAAATCAGAAACCACTCCCAATTCTCTCTGTTTTCTATGCTCACAATTCCATATACAATAGGGTATAGATTGTTATTAGGGTCCACACCAACAGCTGTCAGCAATTGACCTTTATGTGGACCCTTAAGAAAACAACCATCAACCCCTACAAACCTCCTGAAACCAGCTTTAAAACCCTGTTTTACTTCTGAGAAACACACATAAAACTTACTAAACCTGTGTTCACCATTCTCATTTTCCTCTGTCCCTAAAACAACTGTGGAACAAGGATTAGACCTCAACAATTCCTCCCTATAATCCCACAACTTAATGTACTGCATATTAGAGGTACCCCCAATCAGATTTAAAGACCTTTGTTTTGTTCTATATGCCTGATGTTTAGAAACATTAACTCCAATGTCTTTCACAAGCCATTTTCTCCATGGTTTAACTTTTCTACCAGGATCAGTCTTAAAGTCATCAATGTACTTCTCAGTCAACCAAGATGATTTAACATTTTTTACATAAAAACTAGGAGCACATGTGTGCTTGGCATTCATTTCCTTGATTCTGTAGGAAGTAGAGTCCTTCACTTGAACAAGGTGAATTTTCCAAGAACAA